AAGTAATACTAAAAATATCTCTTAAATGAATTGTAAAATCATTAACGAATAATTCTACTACAAAAATATAAAATTTTCTATTATTCCTTTTAATTTAAAATGCATGCGTTGAAAATTTTATCATTCAATTAATTTTGATTTAATAATTTCTCGATATTATCTCATTTTAATTACAATAATTTTGATTTAATCTTAAATACAACATATAAAACAATAATATTTTCTCTAACAATAAGATTTGATTAAATTTGATATTTTCATTTAATTTAAACTGAGCACAGGAAATATAGAAGAGGAGAAATAATTGAATCATTTAAAAAGACTTTATAAGCATTGAAAAATAAATTTATGCAATTGAATTGATCAAATAATGGAATAAATTTTTCCATTAGAACTTAAAGAAGGAAAGTAAACAAAAATAAAATTTCAATTTCATCAAATTTAGATAACACTTAAGCTTCATACTATTAACTTTACTTATTATTTATTAAACATTTACAATTAACTAAACACTATCATCACAAAGTATAATCAAAGTTTCGTTGTATAATTATTATCAATAATAAAAAACGTTTAGCTAAGATATTTGTATATTTTTTTTTTTTTTTTACTAAAAGTTTAAAATAATTTAAGCTTACAAAAAAAAAAAAAGCATCGATAGCATTTAATTAATTAATTAATCGAACTAAAATGAAAGCATTTTTAATTATCAAAATATATTTATGAGAAAAATTTTTTCACTTAATAAAAAGAATTATCATATAAATAAAAAAAAATAAAAATATTTGTAATAAAATTTTTAAAATTATCAATAATAAATTTATTGATGTGAAATAAATAAAAAAAAGGAAGAAATTGTCATTTATTAATTTCGATTTTCAGTGGATATTTGAATAATTTTCACCAAAAAATCTAAAATTTAACTGTTAAAATTTAAAAATTTTACAATATAATTAATTATATATTTAAATTTAACTAATTTCTTTTTTTGTTTAAAATTTACAAAAAAATATTTTTTGGAACATAAATTTGTTTCTTTTTTTTTTTTTAATTTGCTTAATCTCTTTTTTTTGACTTTTTAACATTAGAATCCAATTTTGATGACATATTTTGCGACATAATCAATAATCAAATACAAAAATCAAAAAAGATTTCATTTCGTTTTTTTTTTTTTTTTTTGATTTGATTTGATTGTTTTATTAATTTAAAAATTTCAGTTTACTAAAAATGTAAATTAATTTGAATTGTAAAAGAATAAAAATTAATAATTTATTTTTGGCAATTATTATTTCATTTTTATAATTTTTATTAATCATTTTTTTCTGCTCCATTTAAAATACAATAATTTGAAAATAGCTTAAAAATTAAAAAAAAAAAAAAAAAAAAAGAAACAAAATATTTTTTGTTCATAATTTTTTCATTTAAAAAATTGAGCAAAAAAAGAAAAACAAGGGAGAGAGAGAGAGAGAGAGAGAGGGACAAAAAAAAAAAAAATGGAAACAACAAATCAAACATAATTTTTTTTTTCTTTCATAAATAATTTTGCATGAATTTATATTACTAAAAATAAAATGCATGCATAAATTTTTGGTTAGCATTTAAAATTTCATTACCTCTTTTTTTAAAAAAATTTCTTCCTTTCTTTTCTCTCTTATTTATTAAAGAAATAAATAATAGAAATAAATTACTTCAATTTAAATTCTCTAACATTTTGTCAACAACTTTTCATCCTTTAATACTAATGATTATTGCATTATGCACGATGCGATCGTATTTTTTCATAAATTTTTTTTTTTTTTTTCTTTTTTAAAAGTACGTTTTTCTTCTTTTATTTATTTTATATAAATGAAAAAAAAAAAAAAATCACATAAATTTCATATATTAGTTATCGTTGAATTTTTTTCATTATGTAAAATATATTTTTTTTATTATTCAAATTACATTTTTTTGAATATTATAAAAGAATATTTTAAACTGAAAGTAATTTTGAATTAAAATTTATTTTTTTCGACTATTTTTTTTTTTTTCTTATTTTTTATTCCACTAACTTTTACATAATTTGTTGAAAAAAGAAAAAGAAAGAAAAATCACATCGAATAGAACTGTTTATTTCATTTACGTTTTTTTTTTTTTTCTTAAATTAAAGTTTTTTGTATTAAATAATACAAAAATAAACCGATAATAATCATCGTAATAAGTAATAATTAATTATTCTTAAACGATATAAGTGTTAATCATTAATTATATTTTATTAAAATTCACTTTTTTTTTTGCTTCATAAATTTATTTAATAATAATTTTTTTTTTTCTTAAATTTTAGAATTAAATAAATATTAGTTGTTTGAAAAAAAAATTAATTTGTTGGTAAAATATGAAATGAAAATAAAAATTTAAAGGATTATTATTATTATTATTATTATCTATATGGGAGGTGAAGCATCAAAAATTCGACATTCAAAATCGACGGTAAACAAAAAATCATTAGCAAATCGTCGTAATACACAAGATATTATATCTCCAAAAATTAATACTACTATTACTACTACTACTACTACTACTACTGCTACTACTACTAATTCTGATTCAATTAATTATACTGATCATTTACTTAATGTTGGTAAGTATTAATTTTAATAATATGTAATTGTAAAATGTTAATAATTACTTAAAATTTTGTCCTTAAATAAAAATAATTTAATTTTTTTTAGTAAATAATCAATTAAAGTAAAGTTTTTTTTTTTTTTGTGGTTTAACTTATTAATGTTATATTAACAGTTATTATCAAATTTTTCACAAAAAAATTAAAAAAATGACTGTTAATGTGTTTTTTTTTTTTTTTTCTGTATTATAAGCTAATGCTAATGAAATAAGAAGTGAAAATTTTCAATAAACTCAAAAACGATGGCTTTTTTTCTAATTTTTTGTCACTTCTAAAAAAAAAAAAAAAAAAAAAATTAAATGTCAGTAAGATTAATGAAAAAAAAAGTGTAAGCTAGACTTTGCTTTTACTATTTAAGCTGTCTTACTTTATATTATTATTATTTGAGAAACTTACTTTTAGGCTGTTTAGTCGTTTAGATTGTTTTCTTATAAAATATAATGTTCAATTTGACTTTATTTCTTTGCTTTAGCTAATTATAATTTTATACACTATTATTTGCATAAAATTAATAGATGCGTAAATAAGATTGAAAGTGTCAACATTATAATTAAGAAAAAAAAAAATTATATTTAAGTTAAAAAAGTATAATATTAAAAGTTCTAAAATGATTTAACAAAAAATGAATTTTGAAGATTATTCGTCATTATAATTAATTTCATAAATATATTAAAGTCATTGTAATTAATTTTATAAATATATTAATTAAATAACTATGTTACTAATTACAATAATTTATAGATTTTGGTAATCGAGCCGGAAATTCACCAAGATTATCATTAGAATTCAATATTAATCGTAGTCGTTCAGGAAGTTTATCCAGTTCACGAGGTACATCAAAGCAAAAGCATCCAATTCCTATTCGTGACCGAAATCTTATTCAGGTATTTCTTAGAATTTCTTCAGAACTAATTAATTATTATAAGAATTTTAAGCAACATATTTAATTGTTTATTAATAGAAGCTACTTATCAATGTTAGCATAAAAAGAAAAAGTAATTATTTAATTGATAATTGAAAAAATTATGCACAAGTTGGAATGATTAAAGGTACAAAGTTACTTTTTTTTTGAAATATTGGAAGCTTAAATAAATTAAATAAAAGTAGGTTAAGTAAAAGAAAAAAAAAGGAAAAATATGAAAGTATAACCATAAATGTAAATATATAATAGCAAAATGATTAAGCAATCATTGCAAAATTATTGAGTACAAAACTAAAATGAAAATTTTTAAATTTTCTATAAAAAAAAACAGTTTTCATTAGTGATATTTTTTCATAATTTTATAGCCGAAATTATTGGAGGAAATTTCAAAATTTTAAAAACAATGCAATAATTTTTTCATTTCTAAATTTTTTTTTTTAAATCAAAAAACTAAAAAATTAAAAATAAATAAAAATGAAAAATTAGTTTTAATTTTAAAAATAAATTATGAAATTAACGAGGATTTAATGATACATGGAAAATGGCATAAATTTTTGTAGTAAATATAAGATTAATTTTTGTTTATTTTATCATTTTAAACAAATTATGCAAAAAAAAAAAAAGTGCTAAGAGAGAAAAAATGAATTAAAATAAAATTTTTATAAAAGAAAAACAAATAGTATGCACAAATAAACAAATAAATTAACAATTTTATGAGTTTCATTGAACAAATAAATACAAAGTAATTAATTAATATTGTAAATATATAATAAATATGCCAAATAACATATAATGAAATATTCTTCTAAATAAACATTAACCTTAAAGAGTTATTTAAAATAATTAATATTAAGTATGGTTGTTAAGAAGAAGAAAACTAAATATAGCTTTCAAAGAATTGAAATAAATCAATTCAATAAATAATTCCTTTTTTGATTTTTGAGTAATGGAAATTATTAGCTGAATTGATCATTCAAATCAAACAACAATATATTTATTTGTTAATAAAATTTAATTCACTCGGAAAAGAATTAATTCCAACAATTGAAGTATAAACGAAAAAGCAAAAATGAAAGTGGAACGAGAAAATAAAATGAAATTTCAGTAAAAATTTAATTTAATTTTAATATTGAGAAATTTTTCTTTTAAAAAAAATGAAATTTCTCTGTTTTTTTTCTGTTTGCTTTATTACTTAATTTTAAATTTTTTTTTTTTTTTTGTTTTGATTATTTTATTATTTTTATTCAGAGTTGTTTCCAAAATCCACACGAAATTATTGGCCATAAAATTTTACAACGAGCATATGAAAAACGAAATGGCTTTGCAAATTTTTATGCTAAATTAAATAATGATGAAAAGGATGATATTGAAGAAGGAATTAAAGTGCTTCTAAAAAAAACTGTCGCAAATATTAATTTCATGGATGAAGTAAGTAATAATATACTATTTATACAGGTAAAATATACTCTTTAAAATAAGTAGTATAAGTAACATTTAAATTTTTTAATTTAAATTTAAAATAAGTAACAATACCATTTATATGTTATATGTATATATAATATTTAAATATTAATGTGTATTTATCCAAAATATTTCGATTTTTACATTTTGTATAAATTTTAGCAAATTTTTTCATGACTAAAAAATCAATGGATTAAATTAATTTCAATAAATGTACCAATGATATTATTTATCAAAAAAGAAAGAAAAGAAAAAAAAAATTTTTTTGATCAGATCTTATAAATTATACCATTTCTTTGTTATTCAAAATTTCAAAACATATCTTACTAATTTCATATCTTATTGAAATTTCATTCAATAAAATTTAATTATAAGTAAACAATATTTTGATTAATTTTACAACAAACACAAAAAAAAAATGAATTGTCTCCAATAATTTATTTTATTTAATAATTTCATTTGCATTTCAAACAAAAAAAGAAATTATTGAAATAACATTTTAGGTACAACGATTAGCAGAAGAATTTGGAGGAAAACATGTTAAATTTCGCTCTATTGGCTTCAAACCTGAATTTTTTGGTGTTTATGCTGATGCTACAATTACTGAATGTATATTTCTAGACAATGCTATACATCCTGCTCATCAAACACTTAATGCATTTTCATCATTTATTACTATGGTTTAAATTTTGAAATTGTTATCTTATAAATTTTGCAAAAAAGTTTTTTGAAAGTTTTTTACTTATTTATTACCAAAAATTTTAATTGTTTACTTTGTTCTTTTGTTTTTTTTTTTCGCTTTGTTTATTTCTTTAGCTATAAATTATATTCAAAAAAAAAGATGAAAATTATAGGTATATTCATCAGTGCGAGATGGTTTTTATAGCGAAATGCGTCGTATGAGACGTGCATCAAATAGTTTTAGCACGGGTTCGAATTCATCGTACGTACGAAAAACTATATCAGGCGATATAAATATTGAATTGCCACAGAGGTTAATATTACTATTATTCTTTTTATTTTTCATTTAAGAAAAATAATCAACTAACGATCAAATATAATTTTTAAAAGATATAATTTTGATGATGGAAGAATATCCAACTGATATTATTATATAATATTGCATCCTTGAAAATTAGAAATTGGAAATATTCACATCGAAATTTATTTCAGATCAGCAAGTCCAGGTAACGAATCTAGTGAATCGGATTTTAGTGCAGTGATAGTGATTCCAGCAGATGATGATAACATAGCGAAATCACCTTCAAATGATCTTTAAACATATTAAATTTTTAGCCAAACAGTGTATATTTGAAATATTTATTTTCTTTAAAATGCCTTATTTCTTACTGTAAAATAATTCTGTTATCAATTCCAAATTGAAGTAATACATTTCTCATCAATTTCTATTCAAAAAAAAAAGAGACAACAACGAAAATTATTCTTGCAACTGAAAAAAAAAATGAATGGTAATTTTTGCTTTATAGATTTGCAATTATTTAGAACATCTCTAAAACTTCTCATTCATGGATGAATGATTACTTTTCTACCTGGCTATGACGCACTATATTACCTTCAATTGCTAGAAACAAATCTCATATAATCCATCCATATTTACATGTGAAAATAACTACAACACTTAAAATTCAAAAGTGCAATCAAGGTAACAAAGTTAAAGTTGCATACACTGTTAATTGTTAATCAGCATCGCATATCATTCCGATTCAATACCTATGCATCTATGGCATTTTCTTTTTAAATAAAAGAGTAAAAATAACTTTCATTGTCGTAAATGTATGAAACGATGGAAGTCCATCCGAACGGAACAACCAAAAATATAGGAAACAAATTTTTTTTTTGTCCGTAAATTCATTTATATATTGATTCACTATGCAACACTGAAATGAAGCTTCCAAAAGTTTATTCAATCTGAATAAAGCAACAGAAAACGATAAGAACAATTACTTTTTTCTTTCATAAATCCATTTATACACCGGTGGTTTCATCAACTGTCCCTTTGCTACCTAAAAAGTACAGGCATAGAATCACATCAGAATATTAATTGCTGTGCTAATAAATTGAAATAAAAAAAAAAAAAAAAAAAAAAAGAAAAGTTTAAGTACAACTAATAAGATGTAAATGATTTGGAAATAAATAAGAAAAAATATACGAAACCGGACATTGTAAAAACGACGAAAGAAAATCTGGAACACTGATATATATGTAGTATAACCTTTTTGGGTCGTAGTTCTTTCCCTCTGCTCTCTACTAAATTCCTTTTAACTTCCAATTTCTCAACAACGACCTTCAATTCTTTTGCACGTTGCAATCTTTTCAATAGTTCACTGTACATCTTTCGTCGTTCATGATCTGCTTGCTAAAAAAATAATGATTCATAGTTCTAGAAGCGAATTAAACAAAGCTATATAAATAAGTATTATATACATACATAAGTAAAGTTTCTAATTTAATTTCTAAATTTTAGCCTTAGAAATAAAAAAGTTAATGAAAACACATCAAAAGTATTATTCATTGATTCATTTTATTCATTTGTTTCTATTATTTTCTTACTTTTCCTCTTTTCTTCCACTTTGCTTTTTATCTTTGTTTTCATATTATGTATTGTGTAAGGTCAGTAAGGATCAAAACTTGTCTCAACAAAGAATATTACTGAAACAACTAAATATATGAAATGAGGAGGAATTAATCAGACGAAAAAGAATATATCAACAAGTGAATAAATGAAATGAATTAATAATCTTCAAAAAATTAAATGATTAATAATGACCTTCAAATATGGCTACAAAGCACAATAAAAAAAGGTGCTCTTAAACATACCTTCACATCACTCTTGCTTTTAGCGTTTGTGATAGCATTGCTCTGTAGAGTAGAAATGCGCGGTCGATTATATCTTCGATCTAATACTTCTTTCGGCGTATTGAAATATTTCACGGGATCAAAATTTTTTGCTAAAAGGTATTGTTTAGACTGATTCATTCTAGTAAATGAACTCATTAGTGTTTAGCAAAATGGATCAGCTTCACAACTAAAACCGATAAAATCAAAAACGACAATTAAATTTGATGGAGAATGTTCTGTTGATTTCCAAAGCTCACCATTAGAAACACACTGAACATATAATTCACTGATATTAAATAGAGAAATATAAGTAACAGAAATATAGACCGTAAAGATTTTAGTTTACAAAGCATTACTTATTTCTATTCAAACTGTTAGTATCTGGATAATCTTCCCAAAACAAATATAGGAGTGAGGCTTCTCGGGAACAGTCTCGCTGTGCACATGTTATTACCTATTCCCAATCAACTAAAATTATAGATATTTCTCAAAACTTTTCCAAAAGAGAATGAAACCTTCTTTTGCTGTATCCACGAAAATGGTATGTGTATTTTTCGCAACTGTAGTGTCAGCAAAATGTAAGGTTGCTTTCAGCTTTTCAATTTTCTAAAAAAAATGACAGAGACATTCGAAAAATATATGACGAAACAATGCCTATATATATTACAAATTTGCATGGGGAATAATGGTTCGAATTCTTGCTCTTTATGTGCCAATTATAATTTTACTTTGCACTCGTGGACACTAAATTTCAAACATCATTCGGGAATAATTTCTTGTTCCAATAATTTCAATATAAAAACAAGAAATGAGTGAAATTACCTGATTTTCAATATTCAGTCGATGCTTCACATATTTCAAATCTTCTAAATTCTTTAATTTTTTTTGCACCAATGTATCCTCATCAGGTTCTGGGGTATTTTCATGATGTACTCCATCATCCTGCAGAATTCGATGTTAACATTTGAAGAAAAAATTTCTTGTTATTTTTAAATGAAATATCAAATCAAAACCAATATATACAATACAACAAGTTAAAAATGATGAAAGAAAAGAAAAGGAGGAAGATCACCCCAATATGACTTCGAATCATATGGAAATGGAATTCATCTGGATTCCGATTCAGTGCCTTCTGTCGCAATCTTTGCAGTTTTGCCTTTTTATAATTGTAATCTCGAGCACGCTGAACATAATCCTTCTTTTTCTCCAACAGACCAAACTGTGCTCGTGATTCGGGCTGAAACTTTCACTTTCAAGTATATTATTTCAAACTAGATGTAGAACAAAATGTAATAATGTTTCAAATTAGTTATTAAATTTCAAATTCCGTCGTCATTACCAATCAAGAATCAGGAAATCTCATTCACTTACGCGACTACAAATCAACTTCTTCCAAAAAATTTCTCAAAACAAAAACTGATAATTGTGAAGATAGTAAAGTCACAAACCTGAGGACGTTCACGATGGATCCGTTGACCAGCTTTCGATGATCGTTTCAATGACGACATAATTGTGAAACCTGCAATACATATGCAAATTACCAGATTACAAATCAGACACATTCCTCCTATGGAATATAAACCTCTCCTGAATCCCTCCGACAGAATATAATTTCTTCCTGAATCCTTCCGGAACATAATCTCCTGAATTCCTTCCACAAAATATAATTTCTTCCCAAATCCTTCCGGAATAAAACCCTCTCCTGAATCTCCCCTACAGAGTATAATTCCTTCCTGAAAATGCCTCTTTCTTTCTTCTTCCCTCCCTCTCTCACTCTCGTCACACTTAACATTCTTTCTCAGTCTTTTATCGCCTTACCCAACTTCTCCACTCACTCTTACTCTTTGATTATCCGACTCTCATGTGATATCTCAAATCCCTCATAATCTTCCTTCACTACAACGAAATTCCTTTATCGTCCGTATTCCACTAACTGCATTATAACTCGCAACTGTTATTTTGTTTGCAATCTCTCACTCCGCACTATTTCCTTTTCTGGCATCTCTGGTCTACTCTCTCTTTCTTTACACACTTCGTCACGAAGTCTAATAATAAACTGCAGCGAAGCATTTTGTCTCGAAGTGATTGACTTCTTTCTGTAATGTTTGTGTGTTTATACATTGTTATTGTTGCGTGAAGTACGTGGTGGGTATGGGTGGGTAAGTATGTGGGTAGATTTGAATTCGATGAAGGGAAGGTTTTTTCCCCGTAAATTCTTTAATTTTTTTTTTTCAGAAAAATTTTTATAGCTTTAGATATTAAAGTGAAAAGAAACAATGGAACAAAAATCGATGAAAGAGCAGAAGAAAGAATCGGAACGAGAATCAAGTAAATTTGGTGAGCTGCCATTAACGCTAAGTGAACGGTTGGCTAAATTAGATGCAAATGACTACCTGAATCGTTCACCGGATGATCCACGTTGGTTTGACCGAAAATACAATCGGAAACAACGGAAAGCTTCTGATAGCCCACTCTGGACAGCTCCATTAGATGCTCGTTATCAGCAGATAAAGATGGGACGCCATTGCGTCGATTATTATCAGGATTATTATCGATGCACCAATTTGTTGGGTGAAGACTATAAACCATGCAAATTCTTCTACAATACTTTTAAGGATCTTTGTCCGTCATCGTGGATTGAAAAATTTGACGAGTGGAGAGATGAAGGCGTTTACCCGGGACATTTTGATCGTTAATACTTCTAGGTGCACTAAGATATTTCTCTCTCTCGCTCTCTCTACATTAGTCTTTACGACTATTTAGGCTATACTGAGTAAGATTCTCTTTTTTGTAATTGTATCCTTGCGAAGTTTTATTTTTAATGTTGAAGTCTTTAGCCTTTGTTTTTAATTACACTTCCGTAGTATACATTGTTCATTCTAATTTAAAAATGGATTATTCGTAGTCTTTGAGTTTTCCCTCATGCAATTTTATTATTTCGTCTTCATATCTAAGTAATCTTTTTTAACTTTTATATGCATTTTGTTGTATTATAAAATTATGTCGAAGACGTTAATATATTTTGCGTCAGTAATGCTGTGTAACATTTTATCTGGATTTAATGAGTAAAAAATAAAATTAAGGGGATGTTAAAAAGCAGTACAGTGGATCAGAAAGAGTTGCAAAGACGTGAGACATTTTTACGCGATAACTCTCGACCCTTAAAACTAGCTGATCCGACAACTTGGCCACGTCGTTGGGGTGTGACTTCTTTTGCTATTGTTACTGGCCTGCTATCTTGGAAATATTATACGGATTGGTCAAGAAAACCATTCTTTTACAGTAAGTTTTGGTCATCAGTAATTAAGTAAGGATTTAAATATTCATTTCAGTATCTCTTTAAATGGATTTAGATTTAAATTCGTTGTAATATAGGTTGGCACTCATATATTATACTTGTGGACTTTGTTTCAGGTCTCGTTCCTCGCTTCATTCTTTTGACCTTTCTGGGTGGCATTGGATACGTAGTTGGTTCTCTTCGTGAATATCACTATAAAACCCGTGACGCCGTTATTGAACATTATATCTCGCTTCATCCAGAAGACTTCGAGCACTTGACAAATTGTAAGCTCTTGTAGAAATTTTAATTAGAAATGTTATCCTATGTTCTGAAGTTTTGAACTAAACGTTTTGTTTTTCCAGTATTTAAATGGTCTTTGATTTTTTCAGTGGACGGACGTAAATATTCGGAGGTGCTTACACCCTGGATTCCTCGACGTGCACATCATAGAAAATTTGATTAGAATCGATTAGCTGTCTTGTACATTTTATTGTTCGTTAGCTTCATCTGGGACGTATTTGCTATATTTTTTAATTTCGTTTATTAATGAAGTCAGAAACAAGCGTTGGTAGTCTGGAATCTGTTTCGGTCAACGAAAAACGTCAACGTATGTTGGCACGATTAGACGCACGTCATACAGGGGATGCAACTGGAATGAAAACATCTTCCAGCGAAACAGAATTTGATAAACTGCTAGCAAAAGCTACATGTATAATGAATTCTTCAGAATTAAACATTGAGCCTGAATTTTTGCAAGAGTTAGAAATTGCACTCACATTAATTCCACTCGGTCGTCAGTCACGTCGTTTAAAAGAAGTTTTGAATGTGCTACGCAGTCAAATGCAGAAGCAAATTGGATTGACGCATCAGCAGGCAGCATTTTCCTTTAGCACTAAAAAAGAAAATGCTACTGCATCAGAAGTACAAAAAGCAGCAGTTGCCAAATGTAATCCTCTTGATTCCACTCAGACAACAACTAAACTATTGGTGCAAAAAGCCATTACAATAACTGATGAGGTATTTTTTATTGTTGTAAAGTAGTTTTATTTATGAATAAATTACCACCAAGTGTTATTCCAACATTTGCATTCTAATGCGATATCTTAGAAAGTTAGAGTAAAATTCCATTACAGCATGGGAAGGAATTAGTAATAAGAGGTGATGATGGTGAAGATGTAACAATCAACGATGTCACTAATTCTATGGTTCGTGTTCCGTTTAAAGCATCGGCTGTACATATTAAGTCGGTGAAGGATAGCACTCTAATTTTTGCGCCAGTTAAAACTTCTCTGTTAATACGGAACTGTGAAAACTTAACGGTTGTGGTCGCTGCACAACAAATAAGAACACACGATAGCCATCAAATCCGGTTCTACATTGAGGTTTGTTTCAAATTTCTGGGAATGTAATTTTCTTGGAAATTTCTTCTCTAGAAATCTATATATCATTTGTTTATCATACTTTTATTAATGTCCTAATTGATGAATAATATATTTAGAAGTAGTTTATGATTAGATTTTAAAGAAAAAAGAGAATTGTAAAAATGATTTAAAAAAAAAAAAATAGTTTAGGTACGCGGTGCTTTGATAATTGAAGACTGTGATGGAATAGAAGTTGCACCGTACAACGTCGTTGGCTTTCAACAAGACACGCAAAATAACAACTGGCGTAACGTGCAGGACTTCAGCTGGCTTTCTTCGGAAGAGCATAGTCCAAATTGGAAAATCATGGAAGAAAATTCGGCAAAATACTTTAATTTATAATACGAATCATTAAGCTTCTCTTTCCAACAAAATTCATGTGTGTTCATCTATTTTTTCTTTTTTTTTTTTTTTTTTGAGATTTACAATTGACTGTTATGAAAAAGTGGTTCTAAATTCCAGTTCAGTAAGTTAGACCAGCATGGATTACACTGTCAGTTTGTTCGTGAATCTCATTTTTCTTTCATTCTTTTGATTCGATAGTTTTTTTTTTTTTTTTTTTCAACAAATATAGATTTATGAGAAAAAATAGTTAGTGTAGATTCTGAATTATCGGTTTTTTCATTTTTTTTTTATCTGCTTCATTTCAATTATCTTTTTCTGCGCGTGTTTCTGTTAGTAAATTAATTACGATGGCTATTCCGATCAGTAAATGTGTGCATAATTTCTCAAATGCGTTAATAAAACTAAAATTCTTTTAATTATTTTGCAACACTGAATTTAACAAGTTTTCTTTCTCATGGACTCCTTGTTCAAACTTTTAAGTTCCCTACTACTTTATCAGGAATATTTTCATATGCATGAATAAAAAGTATGGAACATTTTTCCTAAATTTATTTTTAATACGGAAGCATTGTTGTAAGGTTGTTGTCAGAACTGCGTTTCTGTTTTCATTGCATTAATAAATACTTGTGAGTGTAGGATTTTTTTTAACTGAAAAAAAGTAGAATAAATTCGCCAACTTTTTCCTTGTCGAATGTCTGGCACGAAATAGATTTAATTATGCAAGCTTCATTTTTAACTTTTAACTTCAGTTAAAAGTTAGTAAAGTTTGGTAAAGTAAGCTGCATAATTAAAACACCTAAATTTAAAACCCTTCGTGAATTATATAATATATACTTTCTCAGAATCCAACTGAATTGAATGTTTTTTCTTTTTTTTTTTTCACCAATTTTAGTTGTAATTGACGAAAGTTTGCGTTATTTATTCAGAATGGGTTGTTGTTCGTCGATTATGTTCCATGATGAGGAGAAAGGATTGGAGGATCACTTGTTTCCATATCTTGATTATCAGGAACAACCGGATGATGAATATAAACAACTAGATACTGAAAATGATCAAAAGGGTGATACAGCTGTGGAACATATATTTAAGAAAACAAAGTAAAACCAAATCAGATTAATAGTAAAAAATGACAATTTCTTAATTTTAAATTCATCGTAACTAATTGAGCAAACAAGATTTCTTATCACTTTCATTTACAATAGCCAATTACATGTTTATGCTTGTGAAAGTTCATCGTCATTTTATTCGAAATATTTTTGGTTTAATTTTTTTTTAATGAATAAGGCAATTTTAAAAGTTTGAAAGATATTGAATTAAATCCCAGTTACCACTATGATTGCTAAAATTCATTATTAATGCACAAGATTTAACAATAATAATATGATCAAGTGTTCTGCATGACATCAGAAATAGCTGATAATGTAAACAGTGGGAGAATTCTTGAGCTACCGATAGATCAATAAATCGATAGATTTAATCCTTAGGTATCGATTTATCGATCTTATATAGGAAATCGATTAGAATTTTTAAATCTCAACATGCTTTACCCTAACTTGTACATGCCATTAGTGCATAATACAGAAATATCGTGATAAAATTTTATTAGGAAAGAAAAATTAATTCTCAATTACGTACGTAATATTTAAAATAATAAAATGGAACTTTCTAAATGATTTTTTGTCATCCATGCAAACAATAAACAAACAACAGTCATAAAACTTTCATTAGATAATTATTTTGAATCATTTAAATTTCATCATTTTTTTAAACTTAATTCGTGTCACAAAAAAACAAAATAAAAAAAATGATTTTTTTTTTTCTCAGAAAATAATGTTTTATTATAACTTAAGAGGAATTTATTTTAATTTTTAGAATGGTATATGGACAACCACCTAAAGATATGAGAAATATTCAAATCGATTGGAAAAAAGAATATCATATTGATTTTAAGAATCGACCATGCCCATATGATTTTCCAGCATTTGAAGGCGATAAACCACCTGATTACGATGAAAATGTCTTCTTTTTTTTTTAAAAAAAAATTGATTTCAAAATGAATCAAAACAGAAAGCAATGCAAATAAAATAAATAAAATAATTTGACCGTTTAGAATGAAAATTTTACACATTTTAAAATTTTCGATTTCAGAAAGAAGAAATGAATAAAGCCACTACTGTAGATAAAGGAGAATCAAAAATGGAGAGTGAGGAAAGAGAAGGAAAAGGAGGAAGGAAAAGAAAATCGAAGAGTAAAGGCAAAGATGGTTAGATTTAAATTTCATTTCAAATCAAATTTATTTCAATTAATTAATCAATCAATCTAATTGCAGGGAAAAAGAAGAATGTTAAGAAAGATAACAAAATGACTTCTAAAAAGCCGAAACGTTCAACTAATGAACTTGATCAATGTAGTCTTAGTGAAAAGGATTGAACAAAAAGAAAGAAAAAAAGTTTAATAAAGTTTTTTTTTTTTTTTCATTTTATTTTAAAATTTCAATGGCTTACTGTTTCTAATGTATTTCATTTCAGAATCTTTTTCCATTGATTTAATTCTATAAAAATGCCCAGCATTCATTCAGAAAACTTTCAGCTAATACAAATTTGAAATTATAAATAATTTAGTTTGAACTTCATCAAAAAAAAAAAAAAGGAAAAAAGAAAGCCAAAATGTTATGAAAAATTTGCTATATCATTTCAAACTTAATTAATCTAAAATTATTTAGCTTACTGATTTTAAAGCAGACAAATTATTCATCTTCATAAACATAATTAGTTGATTTTTTTGTAGCAATAAGTGAATTAATTCAACAATTTTAGGAATTCCAGTTTCAGTCAAATAAGATTTTAATCTAATGTTTAATTTTATCATATGTTATCTATATTTAAATTGATTAAATTATATTTAATTTTTTATTTAATCTAATCATCAAATTGTATACCCAAATATTTTGAAAATATTTAAGTTTTAAAATTGAAACTTTTCCTAAATGTTTAATTAGTGCTTTCATACACTTTTACTCGAACATATTTTATTTTTTATAATATACAATGTAAATAACGAATTGATAAAAAGAGCAAAAAAAAAAGGGAAAAAAAAAGAGAGCGCAAAATAAACAAAAACAAAGGAAACAAAAACATAAATGAAAAAGAAAAAAGAAAACAAAAGGAAAAGCCCCGCAACAGCAAATGTCATGTTTACGATATATACCATGTATCACACATTAATAATGACAATAATAGTAATAATAGTTATAATCATAATAATAATATTAATAGTAGTAAAAATAATAATAATAGTAATAATAATAATGATAATAGTAATAATAATAATAATAATAATAATAATAATAATAATACAACTACTAGAAGAAGTCCTAAAATTTATTGTTTTTAACTTTTCTTCAAAAAAGAAAAAGAAAAACTAACTAAACCTACTTACTAGTGTAATGTTACGATATTTTCGTTTGATTGCTTAAAAAAATAATTTAATACTTTCATTTCTTCTTTCAAATTATTTTTATCAAATCGTTTTTTTTTTCTGCTTTTTGCTATTAATATCGGCAAACTTTAGCTTAGAAAATAATTTAATCAATTTATATTACAGAATGCTATAGGTAAAATCAAACAATCTTAACCAGAATTGATTAATTAAAAATCATTAATTCAAAATTTTCAATAATTTAATTCAATCTAATTCACTGCTATTTTTTTTTTTTTTTTTTTTTAAATTCATCATCTCATTTAAGTCATTTATTAAACAATCAAATAAAATGCGAAACATAAGTCCTATATAGGATAATTGCAATAACTGATTAAATAACCTGAAATCATGAAATGATCCGAGGTATTTGCCCTATGTGCAGGAATTTCTCGGTATCGTATCGAATCGCTCTGACTTTAACAAAAATCTTGAGTTTACAGTAATAAAATTTTTAATTTCTTCAAAAGCATAGTTGCAATCACTTTTTTTTTTTCTTTTTTTTATACAAATATTAGTCATAATTGCATGGCAAAAATTTTTTAACTAATTTTATTACTTTATTTGCTTTAAGTTTGTCTCTCAAAAATGTATTATCATTATTAGTATGTGCCAAAAATTAAAATTTAGAAAGAAAAAACAAAAATCACAAAAAGTTTCAATTTTTGTTTCTTAATAATTTCCAAAAAAAGAAAAAAGAAAATTTCCTTCATGATAATTGTATCATAGAAAGGAAAAGATATATCTAAGCGAATTTATAATCAAATTATCAATAAATAAATAAATGGAGGTTGAAATTAGAAAGCAAAAAAGCAAAAATTAATAATTGTACAATTACAAGTCAAACTTATATTATCAGTTCTAACACCAATTCTGGTATACCTCTCTGACATATTTCCATTTACGTTTTAAAAAAAAAAAAAATTATTTTATTTGCTTAGAAAGTGCTTTTCAGATAAAATTGATAAAATTTGAAAAATTCGCTTTCTTCCCAAAATTCAATTTTTTTTTTTACTCTCTTTTTTTCTTCTTTTGCTTTTTATTTTTTAATTTATGTTTGAAATCATTCAAAATCTTTTCAAATTCTATTCATATATTAATAGAATCATTTATAAAAAATATGTTAAAGAGAACAAATGAAAAATACAAAAAAAATATATATATATATATATAATTATATAAAAAATTTTTGTTGAGATCTCTTTGTCGATGCACTCGTTAATATCGCCAATGATTGATTGCTTATTAGTGTCAAAGGTTATACATAACATATTGAAAAGTGATCAGTGCATTATTTTCATTATGCTTAGAATTAATTAATTAATTTTACAAATTTAAATTGACAGTATTTTTTCACCTAATCAAAGTATAAATAACATTTTGCTATTAGCCGTAATAAGAGTGAAATTTTTGATTAATTTTTTTTTTTTTTATTTAAAACCTTTATCCCACTAATCCTTGTCATGTTGATGGTATCTGTTCATCGGCACTTTCATCACTTTCATTTACTGTTGTTACTTCACCTTTACATTCTTTTTTATGCTTCATTCGCCTATTCTGGAACCATATTTTCACCTGAAATTAATTATTCAATTTTTAAAAGTTTTTTTTTTTTTTAAATCCTAAATTTTATATTAATTTCAAATCAATCAATTCATTTATTTTATCACTAATTACTATTTCATATAAACAAACATTCGACAATCTTATTTAAAAGTTTTTTTTTTTTCTTTTTTGTCTTTAAGACAAAAGATTTTTATGATTAATATCCAAAAAAAAAAAAGGGAAATCAAGTCGGCAAAGAACAAAGAAAAGTTTATTCAGGGAGAAAAAAACGGAACGGGTGAAAAAAAAAAAAAAAAAAAAAAGAAAACAGAGGCTCATGTTTAGTATAAATGAAAAGAATGTTCATTTTTGTCCTCGGGACAATTCCCTTCTTTTCTTGCTCTAATGGGACCACCCAGGTGATGCAATAAATTAGGAAAACCCCATACCGGCGGATACATGCCGGTTTATTTTCATTACAAAGGGAATGAAATTCCGTTATATGATTAAATGAAACAAAAAAAAAAAAGAAATTTATTTTATAAATTTTGTTACGAAACTTTTTTTTATTCTGATATAAATATAATAATTTTGATAAGAGTTATTTCCTTCCCTTTTTCTTTCTTTCAAAACTAACTTTAGAAATGTAAAAAAATTACGGAGAGATTGTAAAGAAAGATAAAGTTTGAAAATTTTTGAAACTATAAAATTTTTTGTTAGCAAAATACTTTATCAAAGATTGGTGAAAATTTTTCCTAATATTGTCTTTTGAAATTGCATCATTTTCAAAAGTTAGTTTAACAAATCGAAATCAAAAAAATGACATTCATTTCTAATTTTGATTTGACAATATTCGATTGATGTTAATATTATTAGGTGAAAATTTGATAAAATTTTAAGTATAATTAAAGATAAAAAAGATATATGCTTAATGCTCAAAATACGAATATTATAAATAATAATATATGTATCATAAAGTAACTTTTAAATCTATCATAATTTATAAAGTCATCTCATAACTTAATTATAATATCTTAATTTGAGGCAATTTATAATACCACAATTTAAACTTGAATTTAAACAATTTAAACTTTCAAAGAAAGAAAACTTTTGCATTTATCGAAGTTTACGTTTGCGGTAAGTATTTTACCTAACATTTGCATTACAAAATTATGGATCAGAGAATTGTAATTATACTGATTAATTGTTATAGTATCCAAGGTAATCTGGTTGTAGCAAAAATTAATTATTAATAAGAAATTTAATAAAAAACAGAGTGAGAGAAAGAAAGAGAAAAAAAAGAGAGGTGATAAAGAAAGAAAGAGATTTTTGTTTTAAAAGTGATACTTTAAAAATCATATGATCAAAATGTCGCAAAAAAAAAAAAAAAAAAACAATTTACTTTAAAAATTTCTAGGATATACAAATATCATGATTAATTTTACTCATTTACAAGTATTCGTTGATGCAAAGAATTACCATCATTTAATTTCACATTTCACAAATACTAAAATAACATCCTCAAGATTTTGTTGATTAAAACACTAGCAGTAATATTTCAATTACTTGTCTACAATCAACCAATCACATTTCTGATACGTTAAAATAATTGAAAATAATACATTCTTTTAATGAGGTTCATTTTTTTTTTTCTTTTCTTTTCTTGATAACACTTCAACGTATCAAAAAATGATGTAAAAATTGTATTGCTTTCTCAGAAATCATCAAAATTTCTCTTGTAACCGACCAAAATGATGATAATGATTGATGTGAAGTGTTTCTTTTTTTTTTTTTTTTCTTTTAAATCGTGAAATGAAACATAAATCACATGTGAAACAACGGATGATCCTATTTTTGGCAAAAAAAAAAAAAAAAAGAAAAAAATAACTGCTTCACAGAATTCTGCAAATTATTGTCCACCTCATATCATTAATTTAGTGCTAATTTAATTTTTAATATTTGTCAAGTATTTATCATGCTCTTCAATTCAATCTTTATATAATTTTAACAAATAATATTTAAGGGATGAATTAGTTGCTAAGCTGATTTCAATGATACTTCAAATATTTCAAAGGTTGAAACAAACCTGCCGCTCAGATAATTGTAAACTTTCAGAAATTTCTTGTCGCCTTTTTCGCGTTAAATATTTATTATAGTGGAATTCTTTTTCAAGTTCCAACGTCTGATTTCTACTATATGTTTGTCGCGTCCTTTTTGATTCACCACCTTTACCACCTGAAACATATAAACAAAGATTAATAATCATTTTAACAATTCATTACCGTAAATTATTCCGTAAAATATAATTATAACTAAAACATAAATGGCAATCACATATAATATTATTTAACATAATGTTACATAATTCAATATAACCTTAAGAATAGCATAAGTGAGATTAGAGAAAAAAAAAATGAATATTTTTTGTAATTTTAAAATACAATTCAAAAAACATAACGTTTTAATTTGCATTTTCAGTTTCAACAATCAGTTTTATCACCTTTTCACTTAATATTAATAAATTTTCTTGAATGCGAATGTTTTCTTTTGTCTTAATTTTACTAACTTAATAAATATATAAGATTTGGAAAAATTCAGAATTTTGAATTTGCCTGAGATTTTCATTAATTTCACCATAACTAAAAACAAAAGTTGTATTTTAATCTTCTATGATGTTAACGTTCATTTTTGGAATAAGATTAATAGATAATTTAAGTGTAATATTGCTATAACTTTTCTGTAGATTATATTTATAAATTTTTTTTTTTTTTGATATAAAAATAGAAAAAAAGAAAGAAGACAACACCGCTAGAACTGCACCAATTTTTATATACTGATCATAACTAATGTAGAAAGGAGTACTGTAAACATGAATATAAAGGTATACTGTATGTGCCAAAATGTTACGGTACATATGAAGATAACGTTTTCTTTTTCGTTTTTTTGTTTTTGTATACCTTTCATAAAGAAATTTTGAAAACTTGTGCTTCTTAACCACTATCATCAGCCCAGTTCGTGATGAAGGAACGAATGAGCGGCTTTTGTCTTTGATGTGTAGCGGTGAAACTGTCAAAGCAATTTTCAAAATATCTGTTGATTTATATTGAAGGAATGATAAACCACTGAAAAATGGAATGAAGATGCTGCTTTTTTGCAAAAAAAAAAGAAAAGGAACTTCTTTTTTTTTTAAAACGTTTTCGTTTTAATCATTCTTGAATTTCAATTGCTTTTTTTTTTTTGTTTCACATGCGATGAATAATTTTTGAAAACTTCACAGTTTTTTTGAAAAATTAAATCAAAGTACAATTAATATAAAAATTGCATTATCCCTGCATTCGAAAAGTCAAATTTTAATTTAAAATATCTAAATTTTTTGGAAAAAAATGGATGAGAAAAAATTTTTACAGCATAAAGCAAATTAATGTAGATCAGATAAACTAGTAACTAACAATGGATAATATTGTAAGTATGAACAATTCCTCAATAGTTTTTGATGTAACATCACAAAAAAAAAAAAAAAAAAAAAAGATATACTTAACTATACTTATGGTACATTAAACTTTTAATTCTAACTTACCATTATGCAATTTCTTGAAAATTTTCAATATTTTTTTTGCAGTTTACGGTAATAGATAGAACAATACCTTTCAATACTAATAAGTTCTTATTTTAGAGTTTTTCTTTTTCTATCGTTTTTAGACAAGAAAAAAGTGAATAAATAAGGTGAACAAAGTGTGAACAAATTAAAAAAAGAGTGGCGGACGTGATACAGCCTTTGTTTAATTTGTGTCATTGAAAATATTGTCATATCTAGAAATGATTTACTTGGCCAATTTCACTAAAACGAGTACTGCTCGAGGGTTGTAATGAAAGAGCAGCGGTAAAACTTCAAAGAATCGTAAAATGAAATATATTCTTCTCAAATAACAACAAAATATTGTTACGTAAGCAAAACGAAGGAAAAAGTTGACGGAAGGATAAGAACAATAGCAGCAATACCAATAGCAATAATAATAGTAATATAATTAATTAATTAATAATAATAACAATAAGAATAATTAATAATGACGGTGATAATAATAATAATAATAACAGTAATAATAATTAATAATGACGGTGATAATAATAACAATAATAGTAATAATAATATTAACAATAAGAAAAATATTAATAAAAGCAACAATAACAACAGCTGCAGTGGAAAAAGTTCGAAAAAAAGTTACGTTTAATTTATGTATTAAATATGTACATACACACACACACACACACACACATGTATTTCGGAAGATAAAAAGGAGTTGTTATCATTTTCTTCATCAAAATCATTCAACAACAACAATAACAACAACAATGGAAAGACGGAAAATTGATAATTTTCACCTGTCGCATTTTTGTAACTTTCAGTTTATGTACATAATGGTGGAGTAATGATATGAGGGAATACTTTAAGATTACATACAGAGCAAAGATTATTCATGATGATAAAATTTCAAAAAATGAATAATTCTTGCAAGTATCTTCAGCACCATTGTAATTATTTTTCGAAATTTGTCATTGACATTTAAGTGAAATATATTTATGGTAAAATGATCAGAATGCTAATATAAATGATAAGTTTATTAATTCATGTGTGTATCTCGTATTTTAACAGAAATTTGTTTAGTTGTAAATTTAATGCAATTATTTCAATAATAGATGTAACTGAAAACAACTCATATCAATATCCCAATAATTTTTCATTAAGATTGAAAATACATTTAAATCGTTGTATTACTTTCCTGTTAATATTCACAATTTTAATCATGCAAAAATTTGAACAAAATTTAAAATTTCCCTTTGTAATTTTAAAATATGTATATCTTCAATTGATCTTATAATAATCTTTCGTATAAACAAACAGAAAAATTGATAAAAGTGAAATTTGTTAGCTTTCTCTTTTTCATTTGAAATTTCATAAAATCATCAGAAAATTTTGCATTTAATTATTGATCAGTATTACACATTCATGAATAGCACAGCACCAAAACACACCCATTGATTTATACCCATCCATTCACCATATCACATAACTAAACTAACTACTACCACTACCACTACTACTACTGCTACTCTATCATTCGATCATCATCAAATGAGTTCCATACGAATAATGCGCAAGCGGTACGACGTATTATCTATGCGCAAGCGGTACGACGTATTATCTATCTATCTGCATTAGCAACACACACACACACATACACACCTGCCTCTTTCCTACAGTATACCATTATTGAATGAAATGAATAGAAATACTACGATGACTCGATTCCATCATTTTATTAATTCAATTCAAACTATCTAACAAAAATGAGTAAAAATAAAAATCCCATTGCATTATCTGAAAAGAAAACAAAAATTTAAAAAGATGAAATAACTGTAGTGTTTAGAGATGAAATAGAAAAGAATGTTATCATTTTAAACTTATCATCTTCATCTATTTTCTTTCAGTAGGAAGAAAAAGAAAACAAAGCAAACATAATTATTTCTAACTATTATTTTGCAATCGATTTAAAAAATTCGGCATATAAAATAAAAAGGAAAAACTAAGAATGAGAAAAAGAAAGTAAACAAAAGTAAGTAAATAAATATGAGAGGTCAATTTAATTAAATAATAAGAGATCATATCTCTTGAAGCTTATGTTCCTTTTTTCTTTTTTTTTTTCATAATATCTGTAATAGACAAATGAAAATTAATGATATCTGAAGTGAGTGCATTTATCATAAGCTAACTGTATCTGTAATAAATATAGGATAAGCTAGTTGGATATTATTTAATTATGAGTATATTAAGATAATCTGATAGCATTATGACTGCTTATTGATGTATCAAGAATAATTGACTTGCATTTAGATTGTTGGAAAAACTGTCAAAGAATTATGAGAATGATAATATGATAACATATGACACATGAAATATTGTACAGTTTGATAAAGTTTATCTAAAATTAATGAACGAATTAAACAGTTGTAAGCAGTAAATTAAAATGGTAACAAGTGTCACAAGTTGGGAATGAAACTCGTCTGAATAGTAGTTCTCACGGGTTTCTGTTGAATGTAAGAAATTTGATAAAATTTATAGTCACCTATATTGGTAGCCTTTTGCTCTGCTGTTGCAAACTTTGAAATTAACGACTTTGTCTAATGATAAATTACAGCAAATACATGGGAACATTAATATAATTGGTAAATTTTAATAGTGCTTATAAAGAGTTAGAAATAAATATTGCTAATGAAGTAAGAGGGCTTTTGATTGAATCTTAATTAAATCATATATTAGATTAAGTCAGATTTTAATTTTCACACTAAAAAAAAAAAAAAAAAAAAAAACGAAATAAATAAACTATTCGTGGCATTTATTTTTTAAAAAATATTTTCAAAAATAGGTGTCTATGAAAAAAAAAAAAATTTTTTTTATTTATAAAAAATTGTCTTTCGAAATGGTCCAAATTAATAAAAATTTTCCATCCATTTTCATTTTATACTTCTGAGTTAAAATGATAGCATAGATAGGTACTACTTAAATTATCAGTATGAGTTATTATAATGTTATAATAATAACAACAATAATGATAGTATCATATCATATCATATCATTTTTGATTACTTACATATGTCAATCGTTTTTCTGAAAACACTACACATTCTTTAAAAGAAACTAATTTTTTATTCTATTACTGCTACTATTACTTCCATTATTACTGATAATGTAATAACTATCTTATAACAATTAAAAATAATAATAATAATAACGTAATAATAATTGATAATAATTATCATTAATAATAATGGTAATAATAATAACAATAATAATTCGTTCATATAATTGAAGTATGAATTGTAATAATTATTAGTGATGATAATCGTTCAAGCATTTTCATTCAACAAAATCATTCTAATATTGAAATTTATTTGCTGATAAGATGTTAACAATTGATAATAGCAATTGAAGATGAGTCCATAAGAATGTTTCCCGAACCAAGGGCATCCATCTGTAAAGCAGTTAATCCAGCTTACTGATGAACAAATGTCTTCTGGGATTGGCGCTATTTTTTGAACTTTCTTTCAAATAAATCACACACAACAGTCTTTTTTTTTTTCGCTTTTTAGCATTGGTATTTATTTTATCTTAAAAAAATTCCCCACAATGCAAGCATTAAAAATTTCCCTTAGTCGTTTTAAAAATTTCTCAAAATTTTCAGTTTTACTGAATAATGTTTATCATTCATTAAAGAATGTTTGTACAATAATAAATTTTAATTAACAAATTCACTTAGGTATTCCTAATAGATTAATTAACTGTTAGTCAATTGTACTTGATTATATGATAAATAAATTTATCGATAAAGAAAATAATGAGAAAGAAAGTGATAAAGGAAATAATCATCGTATTCTAATAAATTTTAAATTATAATTGAAATTTTTGAAGAAATAAATAAGCGGAAGAATGAAAAAAGTGAAAATACTGACTAATCTAATCAATATGTCTGTAATATGATCGATAGATTTGTATGTAAAATTATCAAATCTTATTATGGATAAAAATTCTAACTTTAAAATCCAACCATAAAATTTGGATTTTTATGAAATGATCAATTTATTCTGCAACAGAATCATTTATTATACGAAGTTTTCAATGGTTTTAATTTAAATAAACTGTAATATAGATTCAAAAAACATTTTTTTTTTTCTAAAAAAAAAAAGAAGATAGAAAGAAAAAACCATTTCAAGCTGAAGTTTTAATTTTTTTTACCTGAAATAATTTTCTTTCTTTGAGATATGAAAAATTTCCAAATTTCAATATTATTAAAAATTTTTTAAATTAAAAAATATATGCAAACAATTTCAAAATTTTGCGTTGAATCGATTGGTAAACTGCAAAAACTAAACATTGTTAGGATATGAAGAAAGAAACAAAAAAGAGAGAGAGGGAGAGAGAGAGAGAGAGAGAGGGAAGAGAGGAAAAAAGGGAGGAAAAACATTCGATTTGAGCATTTTTCCAATGGCATTGTCGTAATTCCATTTTATGGGTGTAGAAGAAATTTGGTTTCATATGAAAGATTCATTTCTCTCAGAGTCTGTCCTCTCTTAACGGTAAACTTTCATGTGCTCAATTCCTTTTTTTTTTTTTTTGTTTAGAATGAATTTTAAAATTTTTTCGTGACAATGTTAAACAGTCAGTCAGTCAGTCAGTCGGTCCCTTCCTAAAACCATTCAAACCACAATGCCAGCATTACTGTATGTAAACTTTAATTAATTAACGAATTCGAAATGCAAATAAAATAATTAAATTATCATTTAGAATTAACAGAAACATTGTACTCAATTATTCATTGGTTTTAAAATTGCAATATGCAAAATTACTGTATAGCTGATGACATCTGCTATTAGAAAAGAAATAACCTGATATGTTAATCGGATAATACAACGGATTTATTCACAGTGTTAAACTTGTTTTACACTTCCTAAATGTGACAAACTGCCAATCTCTTCAATGTGACAAGCTATCCATCTTCAGATCACTTTTTGAAATCAATAATATATATCCCTGTTTTCTTCCATCTTTTGATCATCACACATCATATTTGAAAACAATAATATATCATTTTTTTTTTTTTTTTTTGAGTGTAAGTGCAATAGTCTCATTGTTATGACTAGTATTAAACTTAAACATAGTCAAATTTATAAGGTGGACCTTGAACCCTCTCGAATAAGGGAAGTAATTTCGATGTCGCCTGTTGAACAGTTGCGCTCGTCCTCCTTACATATCCCGTCAATTCACACTCAATGGATTTCTAGCAGCAAACATATACACACACACACACACATACACACATACGCACACGGACATTTGAGTTTTTCTCTTTTGATCTTTGCCGATAATTTATTAGCGGGACAAGCGCATTGCATATCACCAAAGCACAAACACACATACACACATACACACACACACACACACACACATACACCCACAATATTAGCTATTTATTTTTGGAAACTAACAAAAATTTTAGTTTTAGTAAGCAAAAAAGAAAACTTAGGGAAAATTCCTAAAATTCAAAATTATATTTATCGTTGATTCATTCTAAGCATTCATTCATTATCAAATGTATGATAATTCATTCTTTTTTCCATATAATTAGATAAAATAATGGTTTAGTTACTGTCAAAATAACAACGGAAAAATTCTTATATTATTTAAATATCAAATTTTTCTTGTTGAATTAAATTAAAAATTTTTCTTATTGAATTAAATTTAAATTTGAACATACTGCTGAGCATAAAATTTGAACACAATAATAATAAAGAATAATTTTTCCTTGTGTTATTATCATTATTAGATGTAATAATAATAACAATAACAATAGTAATGATAATAATGATAATGATAGTAATAATAATAATAACAGTAGTAATGTTATCTACCTATTTGTAATATTTGTTATCAGAGAATGGCAAAGATGTATGTAGTAGCGTAGTGAGCATTTGATGCTAATATGAAGAAATTGTTCTTATCAATCAACAAAATTATAGCTTTAACATGTATTCATTATTCATTCCAAATTGCCATTCCTTTCTGTTATATTTATTCAATCATTCAAAAAATAAATAAATAAAAAAATAAACGAAAAAAATAAAAGGAAAAACCACATTTCCGACTATAGCAAAAATCAAACTATCCGTTTCTTATTCCAACTAAATTGTCAAATATTTTTGAAATTTTAAATAACTTTTTCAAAAATATTTTTTGATTTTTTTATAAATTATTTATGACTTTATTTTTATTTATTATTTATTTATTTATTTTTTTGGTTATAAAAACAATATATTTTTTGATTTACAAAATTCAACTAATTCACACAAATTTAACTAATTCATTCATTCATATTTAACTCTTTTTATTCTATTTTTTGTACTATTTTTTATTTAACAATTTATCAATATCAGTTGTGAAGTTATACTACAATAATTAATTATTACCCAATAGTTTAAAGTAAATCTTGATCTATACTCTATCAATTCCACAAAAATTACGATAATGATAATAGGAATAACAGAAATGGCAAGAGAGAACATCATCAGATCAAAATAAAAAAAAAAAATTGATCTCTCCAGCAGATACCAATCAAATCACTTGCTACCGTATCATCTTTTTCTGCTATACTTTACATTGCTATCAGATAAAGATTGTAATATTTTTTTACAAAGCAAATTTCTTCTCATAACAAAAATTTTCAAATGAGAAAATTAGCTCTGTGAATAATAAAGAAAAAAAGTATATTTGAATTAATTTTTAAATTATGAAATATTTTAAGCAATACTTAATTTGAAGTAAAACAAATTCACTTCTATGCAATGCAATTTTTACAATGAATAATTTATTTCCAATCATATTTATCTCTAATACAAATATTTTTTTTTTGTTTAAACACTTTCAAAACTTGTAAATTAGACTTACCACTCATTTTCATCCATGGAAACACCGGCTGGTTAATTTGCACCGCTCGTTCACCACTTATCACCGGCAAATGCGATGTTGACGCTGGTTGTAAAGCATTATAGTTTGGAAATCTGTAAATTATACAATTTAAAATAATAAAATTTCCAATGAAATTTATCTTATAGCAATGTTTTCAACACCACTTTCATTAATCCAAAGAAAAAAAAAAAGAAACTTAAGAGAGCAAAAAATGATATGTCCTGTTTTATTTTGTGGCTATTTGAATCGAACATACTGATTAGAAGAAAAAGCTTTTTTTCTTAAAGGAAAGATTAATGATTAAAACTACTGCTTTCTTTTCAGTCACTTTTCTCAATAGCAAAAGGTCAGGTATTTATGTACTGCTTTTTCAAAGTCTGCCTATGAAATCCTTTCAAGTGTTAGAAATTCCTTTTCTTGAAAAAAAAATTTAAAAAAAACAAAAAAGTTTCATCAAAATAACAAGAGCTGAGTAGAAAATGGCCAATGTATTGTCCTAATGATAGACTAAACTTCATTCCTAGCATTTTACAAAGTTTCAGAAATACAAAACAAAATAATTATAACATAAAATAAACCTTGTTGATAACAATTAAAAGTAAGTCTCATGGAATAATGATAATAGAGATAATATAAGTAAAAATAATAAAGTAGTAAGACTGAAATAAGAATTTTTGTGTTGATTATGGAAAATGTAACATGAAGTGTTGTTGAATTTCATTGAAAATGAGTGCGATTGAACAAACTGAATTAATGGGAGGATACCCACAAACCATGACGATAAATGATGACAATAATGATGGCATAACGACGATAACGATAAATTACGGTGATAATAATGATTATGATGACAACAATGATATGATGACAGCTAGATGACAATGCCAACAGGAATAACAATGACAGTAAACACTTTTTTCCTATGTGAAAAAAATAATGTGACCTTCTCGACTTCTTATCCCTGCAATTCTCCCTCCTTTTTTTTCTTCTTCCCGTTCTTGTCATATTTTCTTGTGTCATCGTTCATGTCCGGTGACTGGTCAAGTGTACGATCGGTGTATATACGTATATATATATATATATACGTTGTATAAAGGATTGAAAGAGATGAGTGATGTAGACAGAGGGAAAGGGTAAAGATGGGTAAAAATTGGGGAATTGAAGGGAAAGAGTACATTCGGCCATTATCGTAAACGAGTCGTAAATCGAGCAGTAAAATGTAAATTATGTATGCAATATAAGGATGGGAAGATGTCAAATATACTGCACATGCATAGTCTATTAACGAAGAATAATCAGTGATAAAAATGATATGAACAATAAAATAAATGATTGTACTTCTCAATCATTAAACATAAATAATCTTATGATAATAACTTAACTTATAATAGCTCATTATGCTAAGTAAAATTACAGACATTATTGAAAAAAAATGATTATTGATTAATCGATCGATTATTATTTATTCCATTCTTTTACTAAGAAAAAAAAATCAATGAATATAATTTGAATGCTTTTATTCTTAATAAATAAAAAGCTAGAGAAGCATGGGAAAAAGATAAATAAATATGAAGCATAAATAAGCAATCATTCATTTGATAAAAACTTTTTTAAACTTATCAGAAAATATTGTTTACTGTAAAATGCTAAAGTAAATTTAATAGAATAAATTAAAAAATTATCAAAATAATCAATGGGATATTTAATAAATGTGAATATTATAAAAATGGTTAACTTTTTAAAATTAACATTAAATGATTATTGGAAAAAAATTGTAAATGTAAAGAAAGAGGAAATGATAGAAGAAATAGTGAACAGTTCGGCAGGTCGTAAATGAGCAATAAAAAGTAAATTATGTACGTTAGTAGGGTTCAAGTTTCCTATTCAAACCACTGGGTTAACTTTTGCTCACATTTTTTCAATCCATCATCGAATGTCAAAAAAATAAATATCTAAAGTTTTTTGAATTCATTCATTTTGTGATCATAAACTATAAACAAATATTTATCAATAAAAATCAATAAATATTAATCAACACAAATATTCGTAACAGCTACCACTGAAATACTTCGTTTGAAAGTGAAAAAAAAATTATTGTAGTAATATTTTTTAGTAAGTGTTAATTACATTTATTATTATCACATTTTCTAAAAAGCCAAATACAGTATTTTCTATACTTCAATCTATTTATCAAATAATTTTAAAAATATATTTAAATTTCTAGCAAAAGTGTTAAAATAATTTTATTTTTAAGTTATGCATTACAAAACAACATTATCAGTTTTACTTAAATTCTTTAAAAGATTAGCTAAGAAAATGATAACAAAATCATTAGCAGTATATACTTATTATTTTACAGTATTGTTCTTCTATAGATTGAAATAACTTATTTGTTTTACAAAACTGACATAATAATTAATTTTTGAAATTTGCTGATAATAGCATCACACTCTATCATCGCACAATTTATACTTACTATTGTTTGAGGAAGAATTATAACTGCTTTTAATATTTTCTTTTTTTTATGAGTAAGCATAATTTTACGAATATTTGATAAATTTTAATTGCAAAAAAAAAAAAAAAATCTATTATTATATTTAGGATTTTAGAATGATTTGCTAATACAAATGCTTCTATAATTTTGAAGTTAAAGAAACAATAGTGAAATTGTTTGAGAGATAGTTAAAGAAAGATAACAAATTCAGTAACAAAATATTCTATTTTATTACAATTGGAAATTACTTAATGAATTTAAATAACTTATTTACCAATTAAATGTATGTTACAGCAACATAATACAATAAAATATTGTGTGTTTAATTACAAATTACAACATTGTACAATTCATTGATACATGGAAAATACACAATAATAAATGTACAATTTTACTTAAATACTTGGTACTTACCTAATGGTAAGTTGTTTTTTCAGTTAGAAAACTATCAGAAATGTTAAACTTTAAAAATTATCTGATAACAAAGTTATAGGTTATAAGACAATAATAAAATTTCAAAATATATTTCACAAATAAGTATATTTGTTTTGATAATTAGTAATTGCTGATTGACAGTGCTTTAAGTTGGATGAAGCATCAGAGAGAGCCGGTGACAGTTAAAACCAATCATTTTTCACTACTTTAATTTTAGGGTTGCAAAAAAAAAAAAAAACAAAACAAAACCAGTTCATGGCAGTATAACAGATACCCAACAAAATATATTTCATGATTTTTTTCCGCAAATTTTGAATCAATTTCTAAAATTCTAAAACGAGAAATTTCATTTCATTTATGTTTGATAGAATGAAAATGAAAAGTGCTCTACAAGAAATGTTTAAGTGGCTTGCTGAAATGATTGCAAAAAAAAAAAAAAAAATGTCGGGAAATTTCAAAGCTTTGTACTAGTGGCTGAAAAATTTTAAACTTTCAAAAGATTACTGAGAAATTGACAAAATCAAAATTGATATATGTTATAAGATAAATAAGAGAAAGAAGGAAGAGAAAGCATTAAGAATCCTGAAATAACTAAAACTGAATATGCAAAAGTTTCTATGATTGATATATGGTAGCAAATCTTGTAAGTTCCTACTTTCAATTCCATTTTTCCAATCATTTTTGTAATGTCTTATGATTTATTTTCAACAAAAGATTTTTGTTTTGTTTTGTTTTTGTTTTTTTTTTTTTTTATTTTTTAAATATATGTAATTTAAAAAAAAAAAAAAAAAACGGAAACCTTCTTAAATGACCTAATTTCAATAATTGGTATAAACACATAACCAGGAATGAAACTAAAAATCACTTCCAGAAATCCATTTATTTTTTTAGACCTACTAGTTTCTTGAATGAAGAAAAAAAAAGTGGAATTAGTTGGAGGTAACCTAAAATTGTAGTTCAACTGATAAATTTTTACACCATTACTACTATCAATTTATAGTTAGGCAAATGACATAAATAAAGAAAAAAAAAGTGAAATGAAGAAAATTAGGGATGTTCGAATTGAAGAGAGAATAATTTGGGCAAATCTGATCTTATTAAGATTTGAACTAATAATTTTAGCAATAATCCTCATAGTTTCTATAAAAAAAAATAAAATATTTTACTATTTCAGATAAATACTTCTCCAAAATAGAAGTGCCAATTTATAAAAAAAAAAAAAAGAAAAATATTGAGTCAAATAATTTATTTGAATTTTAACAATTTAAATAATAAATGCAAACGCTTAAATGGCTTACGTGCTTGATGATTCGACCCATTGCGCAGCAGCACCAAGCATATTTTTCATATTATTCATATAATTTTGGGCAGGATATAGCAGCGGATCATAAGCTGCTGCTGCAACCGCAACTTTTTGATGCGTAGCTGCGGCACTAGCTGCCTGACTAACGTGTTGACTCCAGTAAGGCTGTACGGTAGGCGAATCATCAGGACTTTGCCAACTGGGATACATCGACGTGAACTACCGTATAATGTATTATCCAGCCTGTAAAATTGCTCTCTGTTTTGGAGTATTATAAACTTGCCTTAGTGTAATCTAATAAGTTCGTAAAATGGGATCGAAGAATTAACGAGCAATGGCATTTCATTCCAGTAAAATGGGGAGTGTCTGTTATCAAATTAAGAGGAATGGGAGGATTAAGCAACAAAATGTCAACATTTACAACGATAATTAATTATTTCTCATTAAGTATCAATTTCTATTTAATTTAAATGAAAAAAGTAGCTATTTTAAAAAAAGGGTAAATATCATCTTTTTGTAATTAATTTACATATTAGAAATATAGAAAGAGAGAAAAAATTGAAAGTGTAAAAATTTAAAAAAGAAGTGATAAATTCTTGCTTGTTTTTACACGTTTATCAATTATTATAAAGTGTCTATTTTCCTTACGCCACCTTCCAATTATCATCTTTCTTTACGCTTCATCAATTGCCTGCAAAAATGCCATCCTAAATCATCGGCCAATCGCAATAATGGGTAATTTGAGAGGAAATAATGGGATAAGTTTCAATAAGGTGAAGTAAATGGTACCATTTGTAAGGCACCTAATGATAATATAATAAGGATGATGATGATAATGATGATGGGGCGTGCTATACTGCCTCTGTCGGGATGGTAGAGCAGGGCGGACTGCAGCATGCAGGGCTGGCTGCAACCCTGCAGGCAGCCCTGCCAATACATTCGTCCTCCGCCTCCTTGTCTCCTTCGCCGTTGTCGTTGTCGTCCTCGTCGTCGTGATGATCGGTCAGAGTAATACGAGACCCCCTCCCTCTTCCACCTCCTCTCCATTCCTCTGTACCTCTCTGAGCATCTTCAGCTCGGTCTAACCCTCCTCTACTCCTCCTTCAGCCTCTTATCGGCAAGATCAAAAGAGTCCCGCCTCTACCCCGTCAACAACCAATGAGAAAGAAGCCCAATGGATGCGAGCATCTTTGATGTATGCCGCCAACTGGCTCCTGAACCCATAAAACAATGTCGTAAATTTTTCTTCAGAGCTGAGCTCGCCGAACTGGGATGATGAACTCTTCCTTCTCCCCATCTCCGATAAGCTGATACGTGCTTGACTTCTCAAGCAGTTCACGGATGGACGGATGAACTGCTCAACTTCACTTGGCTCGACTACCCCTTTTGCGGGGTAAATTTTCTGTCTAATTCGTTTCAAATATTCAACTTTCAAAAGATGCTATCACTTCATCATCTTATCCTTCTTCTCTTTCACTCTCTGCTCGTTCTATTTACCTATCTATCTACCTACTATTACCTTAACATCTTTTCATTCCAGTGCATTCAAATAAACCTGATTCTGCTTCAACCTCTCCTTATGATTTCTTCTCATCATCATGATTTACTCCATTCTTCTCTTTTCCTCTCTTTTCTCTCCTCTCTCTCTCATAATATTGTCTCCTCATTCTGGATGATCTAATTGGTGGAAACATAATAGCTTATTTCAACTTTGAAAGTTCAAAGTTGAAATAACCTACAAAGTTTCTTTTCAATTTTTTTTTTTCTTTAAAGCAGTATTATAAAGAAAAGTAACTAGTTTGCTTGGTTAAAGGGAATATTCTAGTCGATTAGTCAGTAATCAGTGGAAAACTTTCCTCCCTCACTGGTAGATTAATTATCAACAGCTACTTCTGTGGAAAGTTAGAGGAAACTGATAGCGAAATAGAGAGAAAGTACATTTTCACTTCCCTGAAATGATATCATTTCATATTGTCGGTCACTGAACTAGAAAATAGCCAAATTTTGGCACCACTATCTACCTGTCCTCTTTCATCAATTGAAGACTTTTATACTTCTTTTGGCTCTTCCTTCCTTTCCCATCATGATGACAACAACGGCGACAATCACTCCTGCTATCACAGCACGAAACTACCCATTAAACCCGCAATAAATACTATAATCTTAAAGAGAATCCCCTAATCTGAAAAGCGATAATTTACGACTTTTCCTACATTTCCTTCATTCTTTCCTTCTAAGCTCACCGATAAAAGTGACAAACATACCGACTTCAGACTATTTGAGCTCTATGAAAATTAAAATATATTCATCCAAATATACTGATCCCAACATTTCAATACTTATCGTTTTTTCTGCCCTTCGGAATACCGGATTTCTACCCGTTCTCCTACGTACAGACTGACACACACACACACACACACCCATATATATATACATAAATATATCGATATACACATTTAGTGTCTAGTTTTCTTTAATTAGGTTTGCTGTTTATTTGAATTGACAAAGGCGAAATATCGATTCCTTCTTTTACTTGTCTTATGGTATACACCGAATGAGAACATCTGTGTGTACAGTAATGATGATTACAGTACAACAACAACAACGACAACAACAGCAGCAACAATAACAACAACAACAGTGATAATTAATTGCAATTATAACATCAGCAATACCTTACAATGTTTAAAATAGTCTAGTAGTAACTTTTAATTTTTCATAAAAAGGCTTTAACCCAAAAAAAAGCAAAAAAAAAGTAACACGTCATCTAAAAGCTAAAATCTAAAAGCTGTAAATCTACAATAAGTATTTAGTCCTTGATAAAAATTTGAATATAAACGAAATTAAAAACAACAATATCTACGTTTATAATGACTGTATATTGCTTAATTTTAACTAGCGCATATAGAAAAAATAAATTACAGCTTGTAAAATAGTACAACCATGTGAATTTATAACTTTTAATATATAGTCTTACATATTTATGAAGAACTAATATTTAAAGGTAACTTACTGTAAGAAAAATCACTTTAATATTTGTCATTTCTTAGCATTATATATTTATTATTTTAGAATGATGGTCAAAGGTTAAGCAGCAAAGTATAACAATTTTCATATGTAAAATATCAGACTTATAACTTCTAACTATATTCATATAAAAAAATTGTGGAAAAAAATATTTTCCTATTCAAATATTATTTTCTATAATTCAATTTGTACCATTTTGCATATTTACAGTTAGAACTATTCAAATTGCACTAATCATAAACAAAAGCAAAAAACAAAACAAACATATTTTACTTAAATATTTAACTGAAGCAATTCAGATGATAACTTCAAAAAGGTACATTAATATAAGTGGTGTATCATGGCTTAGAAATCATTAATTTTCCTACAATATTTAATTCCAAATTTTTCATCTCATATTTCCAGAAAGAATTTAAGAAAAAAAAAATAAAAAAAGAAAAAAAAAAAAAAAAAAAAAAAAAACAGAATAATATATTGAATATAGATTTTCCATTTATCATTCTTGTTGGTGGTGCATTTTTGCCTTATTTCACTAATGAGAACTCTATCATCACTGTGACATATACGCCATATTATAGTTTGCCATTCAATATATCTATCACATCCGTTTTTTTTTATCATTTTTGCATTAACAGCTATCCATTGGTACTATTTTTTATTTTTATTTTATACTGATAAATATGTGATATGGTAGTAATTTATCAAGAAATCAGTTAATATGGTTGCTAATCAATATGGCAGCTTTTTTTTTCATTTTAAAAATATTATCAATTGCTATTTATTGAATTAAATTTAATTTAGTGTATATCAAATATAAATTTACAAAAGAATATAGAAAAAAAAAACTTTTGCTAGAAAAACGATAATATATGTATTTATTTATTTATTTATATATATATATTTGTTTCATTAGTAATAAATCCTGTAGGTTACATTAACTTAGTAATTAGTATATTTACTTCTACTACTTGCTAATAAATACAAACCAAATATACACATATCTATCTATTAATATATCGTAGTTTCAAAACTATTTAGAATATTAGCAATAAAATAATCCTACAGGGAGGTATTTATGGTTAACGGCAAAATTATGACTTTAAAAGGAGTAGATACGGTAAATTTGCTTAAATTAAAGCCAAGCTTATAACAATAAACAAGCAAAACAAACAAAAAATTTATTATTATCAGATAAAATAAAAGCGAAGATTTTTCATCTCATACTTAAGTTAAATTAAATTGAACAGGTGAAATACTTGAATGATAAAATGTTATCACCATTAACAGATAATAATGTGCTCATCAATAACAACGAATCTTATTGTACATATCTTGTATTTATTGCTTATAGAATTAATTTTATGAATGATTTTAGAAAAAAAATACAGCAAAATTAATTGCCAGAAAAAATGAAAGAATGATGATTTAAAGAATGATGAAGGATGAATTAGGTGAAAAGAAAATGGATTTAAAGGAATGCAAAATGGATTTCACAAGTTCATCTGGCTTATCAATATGTTACCAAGTGAATTTTAACTTAAAAACAAACAAACAAATAAGCAAATAAACAAATAAACAACCTTTAGAATATAATATTCAATGTATTGAACTAATCATTTCATATCATCTATTGCTATAATTAATGAAAATAAAAACGTCTGGGAAGTTAAAGGACGAAGCAGTAAAGTAATATTTATATATATATGTCTGTATGTATGCTGTGTGTGTGTCTGTGTGTGTATGTGTGTGCGACAAATTACCATAATTTGTTAATGAGAGCGCAATAATCATATCGGAGGAACGTAATCATCATATCCGAGAAACGTAATCATCATATCAGAAGAACGTGATCATATCACGAGAACGGAATGATCATATCGAAAGAGTGTAATCATCATACTGCAAAACGTAATCATCGTATCAAAACAACGTAATCACCGCATCAAAAGAATGTAATCATCATTTCCGGAAATCATCATATTGAAAAGCATAATAATCACATCAGAAGGACGTAATCATAATATCGAAACTTAACTGTCAGTTGAATGCATCAGCTTCTGTAACTATTTGAAGAACTACATTCGATAATGATCGATAATTCAAACTATCAGTCTATTCATTGTTTCGATTTCGGATTTTTTCTTTGAAAGAATAATTGCAAGCAAAAAGTTGAAAATATTCTATTTTGATTTTTGAAATTAAAGAAATCAATTCTTTCTTTTTTTTCTATATTAAAATATGCCAAAATATTTTCAGCCATTTTCTCTCCAACATTTCTCTTTTTTTTAATTTATAATATAGCAATTTGATTCATACTAATGCAGAAAAAAGCTTTATTTCCAATTTTTTTTAGAGGAAATTTTTTTCTTCAAAATTAAAAAATAAGTTAAGAAACAATATTGATTAGATAAGATAATTATCAATGTTCTAAACCGGAACAGAAAAAAAAAAAAAAGGAAGCTCATTTTAACCATGATTTATCAGAAAATACATAAATTTGTTTGATAACAAGAAATCCCTGTTTTTTTTTTTATTTCGCCTGATTTTTCATTCCGATCGTAATCTTTCCTCTATTGCTATCATCAAAAAAGCACACAAAAATACTTAAAATCCAAGTTTTAATATTTGTATAAAATTATCAACTATTCAACTATAATTTATAGTAATAATTATTGCAAATATATATGTATATGCTTAATCAAAAAATATAACAAAATCTTTAATCTAATTTTTTTTAACTCAAAAATTTTTTTCAAATTTAAACAAATTAAAAAAGGATTCATTAATGGTTGATTGTTAAAGATTATAATTTATTTGTTAAATTTCATCCCATTCAATAATTTAAACAAAATAGGAAATGATAATAATCGATCTCCTTTAAACAAACAAAAAAAAAAAAAAAGTGAGAAAAATTTCAGATAAAGAAAAGTACTCATTAAAATATCAAAAAAAAAAAAAAAAAAAGAGAGAGAACACCACACGATATGTTAGCGGAAATTGTTTTCTAAAGAAAAGCTAAAGAGTGGCTTTTACGTAAAAACCTTTTGCAAAATGATTTCAACAACCTTTTGAAAATTTTTCAAAAGCAATCAGTTAATTATGTTAAAAATTTTTGCTCTCGTTTTTTTTTTTTCTTATAGGAATATTTTTGTATATAAAATTATAATTTAAAAATGGTTAAAATTATATATGTTTGAACTTTTCTGTTATAATGGTAAAAATAAAAAAAAATTGAACGATTAAAAATTCAATTGTTACAAAAATTCTCTT